TATATATATATATGTATAAATAGATTGAAAGATAGGTATAAAATGTTCGGTAGGTAGGGATCGGTATCTAAACCCTGGAGCCTTCACATCTAGATGCCCCCAACGTACGATCAAAACCAAGCTCGAAGCCCCTATAATTTGAGGTTCCAAGGCACTTGTTGTAGCCCAAGGACTCCAGCTCGTGCTCGCAGACCCACTTAAACGTCTCCTGTGGTTGCTTCGCTTGAACAGCAAGCAGGCTTGGGGTTGTGCAGAGGGTTTGCCTGCACCGACACAACGGAGCGGCGGTCGGGGTTCTCCATGTCCTGCAGGCCGAACTAAGGGACTATATAGGGACCCGGTAGACTATGGATCAGGAGTCCTTGGAAGTCTCGAGGTGGGATTATATACAGGTGAGCCACAAAGCAAAAGTGGGCTGCGAACAGAAAGTATGCGTTCAGCCTAAAAAGCATCTGAGTACGGGTAAATGTTGACATTTGATGTTGGGTTTTTTTCAACATTATGTTGACAAAGTACGGCCTGCGTACGGGTACGGGTCGTACTGGGGCTGGTTTTCCAACATTTTTTTCACCATTTGGGGCCAGTACGAGTTGACTTGGTCGCTGAAAAAGTATGCGTTGGGTTGTTGAAGAATATGATCTTTATTTTGTTTTGTCTAGGGGTTTAAAGACCTGGAATGTGCAAGATGCAGATCATAATGTCACTCTTTTGCGGTTTTGCGAGGCCTACCCGGGAGCCCAGCTAGAGTCTTAATTATATAAGATCCCAGACCATTGGCCCCGGAACCCCGAAGTCCCAAACCCCTGCGAACCCTACCAGTGGTGTAATTAAAACCCTATATAAGCAGCCTGAGGCACTACTTTGCGGGGCACGATTCGGGCCTGGCGGAGTGCCTCGACCAGAAAAACCCTTTCAACCCTATATAAATCGCTATATATACATATATATATATATATGCTATATATATATATATATATATATGTATAATATAGAAACCCTATGTAGGCGTAGAAACCCTATATAAATATATTTATATACAGAGGCAAGCAAAAGCCCTATATTACATATATCTATCTATATATATATATATTCCCCATTACAGGCCTATATAGAAACCCTACATAGAGTCTTATGAGGCCCAAAGAATCCTGCATGGTCGTGAAGCCAACAAGCTAGGTTCTGCGAAGATCCGGGATCTATGAGAATTGGCGATATTTTTTCGGGGAAGATGTACAAACACTTATATAAAAAGAGCTGTATTGGGATCTGTGGCCAATCAGTACACTGCTCTCCTACTTGTCCATGCAAAAAGTACAGATCTCTCTCTGTATAGATTGCCTGGCTTGGCTCCAGGAGGGCTTTCGAGGATGAAGAAGAAACCAAGTTTATCTCCGGGGGAGGGGGTTCAAAGTAACCCTCCTTTCGATGGCCTATCTGCATTGGCGATCTACATAATATAGGATGTAAACAATCTGCAGTTATGTCCGGTCTACACTAATCCCGTTCCATCTCTATAGGGGTTTAAGGGTTCAGGGGTTTAGAGGTTTCGGGATCGATTTATATAGGTTTAGGGATTTATAAGGGTTTAGGGCATTACAGCTTTATGGGGGTTTAGGGGTTTGCGGGATTAGGAGATTTTGGGTTCAGAGTGAGCACCAGCAAACATTTCACACCAAGCCAAGCAAGTTTCTTTTGTCACAAGAGGAACTACCTACAAACCCAGCTCTGGAGATCCACTGCTAGTGCTGCCTCAAAATGCTACAACGATGTATGTTGTAATTTCTACAGGTATAGAACTGCATGCTACATAGGCAGCGAAGTATGGATCAAACCTCTTAGGTACCGAACCGTCTCAGCCATCTTGGCTTCTGCCCAAAGGTGGTCGCCGTAGCCGAAGTCCAGGATCTGGGGCACGGCGGCACCAGTGGGTTGGAACGGCCGGGGTTAGAGCTGGGTCCTAAAACATTAAAATGTATGTGTATGTAAAAACCTATATATATATA